AAGCGTTTTCTTGAGCACTACATTATAGAAATTTTTCAGATTCAAGCTGAAACCTGGTGAAAATATGTACGACTTCGAAGGATCAACAGCCTCTACCCAAACGTTGTCGACGTACTTACACAAGATCACTGTCTCTAATGTCTATAGAATGTTTTTCAATTATACGCAGGTGTTGCAGGTTTGTACGCCAGATACGAATGCCAGAGCGAACCTCAAAATAGTCAAAGTACCCACTTTCAGCGCGATACCCACCAGTGTTGCACAACCTACAGCATTTATGGAGGTCAAAATAGGTTTAACGACATACCTTGTATCGAGGAAACAAGAGTTCGTGTTAAGTGAGTGCAAAATAACGCACCTTGACAAAAAGATACATAGCTTATTAAACCAGCCTACATATTGAAGACGGACAACATACTCAAACTCCTATATTTTCATTAGATCGGTCGCTGTAGCTAAGAAATAACGATTAGGGTCTGGCTATACTACGCCGTTAGCAGCTCCTTCTGCCGATTCCGCCTGTTTCGTCCATGCTCAAATTTGTATCAATTCTCAGTCCTAGTTGACATGGAACTAACAGATAAAGCCACTAATGGTGTAGGTCGCGCCCTAGAACACCACATTTCGCCGAGATCTGCGTCTACAAACAATCACATGCTGCGGTTTTGAAAGATTTAGATCATGAAATGAAATTGGTATGGCTTTCGCTTATTTAGTTCAAGGCTTTCCTTTTGTTGAGAGCATTGATAAGGTCAAGTAAACTAATCAGATGAGCTCAGAAGGTAAAGAAGTGAAAAAGCAAGATGTCTGATTCAATGCAAAGATACTTTAATGTACTAATCTTCCAAGAAAATGATCGACCGCTCATTGGCAAGACAGAAAACAAAGGATAAATTGCCTAAGTCATTTCATGACTTCTACCTGGTCTGTTTCAGAAACCCTACAGAAGACCATGACTACATTCACGCAAACTGGGTTGATGGTTATCGAGAACCGAAGAAATTCATCCTTACTCAAGCGCCATTAGCGCATACAATCTACCAATTTTGGAACATGGTATGGCAAGAGAAAAGTGTGCTTGTAGTGTCCATGATACAAATGTTTGACATCAACGGCGCAGAGGTAGTTCCAAGAATATATGACGAACCTCGGAATAGTCTAACTTTTTCAGTGGAGTATATGTTATATCCCACAAAAAACAGGAGCTGAGCGTATTTTTGATGACATTAAATTGGTTCATTGTGGAACCCAATGTATACGACGGAGCTACGATGCCACGATACTCAAGGTTCGTGTCAACTTCCGTTCCATCTGAACAGACGTTTGGCGATTTTGAGTCTGCAGGTGATAAGAAATGGATCGGAAAGGAAACTATTGCACATCTGCTATTTTTCCTGGGGGCATAAAGGAACTCCACGAAAGCCAACAGAATTGCTGAATTTCGTTGCCGATATCAACTACAACAAAGAACTACTTGTTAAAGAAGCTGTTGCAGCCGGATGGTTAAATGAAAATGAAAAGTAGTTCGGAAAAAACTCGAC